GATAAATGGGAAACTAATCACTGCATTTACTTTCTGAATGAACACTTAAAAATGAAAGGATATTTTCCAGTCAGTTTGCATTAATTATAAGTAAACTGACATTTCAACTGTGAACATATACATTATTTTTAAATGGCAAATTCCCTTTTTCTGAGACTTGAACAAAATATTTTCATCTCTACAAAAAGAAAAAAAACTGTTTAAGTTGTGCTGCACAGTACATTAGAACAAACAAAACTTTAATAAAGCCCTAACCTGGTGAGATGTTACTGACAGCAGACATGAGCTTCCTGATGCCATCATGTGCTTCAGTCATGGACCCTTCTTCAACCCCGTAAGTGGGAGAGGAAGTCACAGGTTGTGGCTCAGCTGGCCGAAGAGGATTAGCAATAAGAAGCTGGCTGGGTCTAACTGCAGCAGGGAGAGCAGGAGGAGGTATGGTGGAGTCAGAGGAAGAAGGAGGGCTGTCCATCTCTTCATGTTCATCCATGGGAAATGCACCTTGGCGCTTAAGCAATCTGGCCATGCGTTCTGACAAGATGGCCACAACAATAACAAAAAATAAACACGAGGGGAAAAAGAGAGAGAAATACATTTAACGTAACAGAAGGATAGTGACTGGTGAAAAAATATAAGCAAGCTGCTTAAACATTTGTGCATAAAAAAGCAGAACTTGACATTGAGTGAAATGCAAAGACATTATGTTTTACTACCACTAATAACAGTAACAATAACAATAATAACATAATAACTCTTGATGACACAATAACAATAATAATACAATTTGAAAATTCAAATTCATTTTAAAAAATAATTTACAAACGTTCCATACATGGATAGGCAATAATACTTCACACTCAACATCAAAATTACTGCTTAACAGGAAATGAACAATAAAATAACTCACACACTCTTTGTGTGTGCCTTCTTAATCTTATTCCCAGGAGCAACGAGCCCCTTATGCTCAATTCTGAATATACAAATATGAATCTTAAAAAGGTTCACTCAAAAATAAAGTAAAATGTGTCACTTCATGCAATATGAAACCAGGTAATGCTTTCCTAAAATTTATTTAGTAATTAGTGTCTTTTTTCCTTCTTAGTCACTTCAAGCTTTGCATTTCATCCAATGATAATATATTTACAAAACCTATGCAAATGTGCAAGCTACAGCAAAGACTATGTTGTATTAACAAAAATTATGCGTACAACCTACGCAAGTTCTCACGTATAAACATGTATACACAGTAACAAAAAAACCCACAGAAGTTACAATCTAGGACTGCCCATATGATACAAAGTGTCCAACAACAACAACAACAACAACAAAAAAAGATCATTACATTTAAGGAGTATCCCATTCATAAACAAATGTGTATTACAATTATAAATGTGCACAACAGCATAACAGATACTTCTGAAAAAGTTCAGTGTGTGCACATGCATGTGTGCATGCACACAGGCACATACACACACAGCAAATTTTAAAACACAGGAAGTCAAATTCCTTGCAAAACTTAAAAGAATACAGCAACCAATAAGAATAAGAAATTGTTACCCTGAAACATTAAAATATATTTCAATGCATTATCTTATTAATTTGTATCAAGTCTTCCACCAAGAGGAAACAGAACATAAAAGTTCTCTCAGAACTATGTATGTAACCTGTACATAATATCTTACGACACATTACTATATTACCACAACAAAGTGTTTCCATTTAAAAAATGTGACTACAGTGATAATACAAGCCAACACATGGAAGTGATTATAAAACATGCAGGTTATCCCTTCAAATATGAGGCACCTCACCTGCTGTTACTGGCGTACGAACAGCAGCAAGATAAGAGTCCTGACGAACGGCTTTATGTCTCTGTGGTTCATTGGCCCCTTCACCACGGTCGTCTTCCCCATCGTGTAGCCATTCCTGAGTATTGCAAGTTAAGCCCTGCCGTGATGGAGAACCCATGACAGCTGTCCAAGACTCAGCTGAATTGGAACGTGCTCGCAACTTAACCACTTCATTTGTTTCATGTTGATTTTCTTTAGATGGTATATCTGGAAATTACATAACAAAAATGCATTACAAATTCTATTATTATTTAAGATGAATTCAGTGCCATGATGACATTAACTTTCAGAAGTAGAAGTTATAAAAAATTATGAGCACACTCATCCATAAATCCATAAAATAAAATTACATACCACACGCAGTTACTACAAAATTTACAATTATGCAAAAGTTCAGATCTTTCAACAACCATCACAGAAATACTACAGGGTATATTCTTAATAAAGTTATTTCAGACAGCAGAATAAGCAACTGCAGTCTATAAAATATGTTAGTGAGAAGTAAAGTTAAAGTAAAGTTTGTCCCACTACGTGCCATACAGGCGCTTGGGGTGAGTGGAGGTATAGCTCCTCTCTTTCTTGACCTCAGCATTAGATGGGGGTGAGTGGTCAGCATCACGCCCCGGCCGGCTTTACCCCCGGGAAAGGACCCCGGTACCCATTGTAGAGGAGGCTGGGTGGGCCCCAGAGCCGGTCTGGATGCAGAGGCTAGAGGAAATATCCTCTGCCCCCATTGGGGATAGAACCCCGGTCACCCAGCCCACAGCTAGTCACGGTACTGACAGAGCTATCCCGGCTCATATGTTAGTGAGAAACAAATCATTGTAAATATTTTTACTGATAAACACTACTTGTCAGGTATCTTTAACAAGTTCAAGTGGCTACTACAGGCTTCACAAAGATGGAAAAGGAACTGTGAGAGCAAGTTTCAAGAGAATAATTACTTCCAATCAAACCTGTCTGCTGAAGTTATACAGCTAATAATGGGCTCATTATCATCAAACAGATAATGCCAACAGGTCTTTACTGCAATAAAAATTCAATTTTTTTCTCTAATATTCCTTTAATATTGAGTGAAAATATAAACTGTAATTTTATCACTGTAAAATATTTTATTGTTTGGCTATTTCATCCTCTGTATCAAATTTCATTCTAAAAGATCTGTAGAAGTCATTTTGATAATTTCAAATTTTGTAACTGAGCATTTGTGGTCTAGGTCTTTACACAATTTATGAAGCCTGCAAAGAGTCTTCAGGTACAATGATTTATGCTATGTGAAGCACTTTATATCTTCAACCACATAGCAACAACATTAATTAATATGTATTATAAGCTGTCGCTGCTCTGCTGTACAACACTGTTTGATACAACATCTGCTACAATATTTGCATAGCCTGTTATTCTATTTGTTGATATTAGTCACAGTCAAGCAATGCCATCTATATTCACAAGTTACTACATACAAATAAGGTCAGTGACAATACCTGATTCTAAGAACACTACAGCAATCTTTAAAATAGACTGGCTTATTACTCAGACTTTAAATTAAATAGGAGTAACAGTACCACCCCAAGAATATTTTGCACAAAGAATTATGGTACCTGTACTAATGTATAATGTAATTAGTCAATTACATGATGTAGGCAAAATTATAAACAACAAACTATTCTGCTGTTATGAGAGTTAAGAAGTCTCTGCAAAACTACAAATATTTTGCTATACTACCATAAAGATTTCATCATTAGTTATTTGTTCTGATTTACTGATCAAATATCTGATCTTCAGAATTAATTCACATTACAACCTGTGAAAAGCATTTACAATGTAACGGTCAAGTGCTCATAAAAAAGATGGGAAGTAATTTCATGAAGTCCAGTGCTGCATACACATTTCAGAATATACCTTTGCAGTTATTCTACAAACCTACATTTCTTCAATACAGACTTTTTCATAACAGTTTACATTTCTCATGCTTTTGTAACATGCTACAGTGATTAGCAAATGTGTAGAACTCAAGAACACCCAACTTAAAAGTATGTAAACAAACTGAGGTGTGAACCAATATTTCACACTGACTACAGGAATTCTAACCAAACATAATTTACACAGATTAAGGAAGATTAAGTAAAGGTCTACAGTAATTTAAAATAATTAATTTTATTATTTATCTACTACATTTTCTCACAGTGCCTCAGCCTGCAAAATGCTTCCGATCCCAACCCCAATAATCTACCACCGAAAATAACAAGAAGTAAGCCCAACATGCCAATATATATTATCATCAGCGTCCCTAAAAGAACAAAAAGAAAAAAAACTAAAATCTAACAAACTAAAATTAAAATTAAAAATTAATTTACTCCCACACAGTTTCTATTTTGTACATGTCATTATGTTGCCATCCTACAGAAGAATGAGGGAGAAAGGGAGGAGTGTTAGTACAACATGACCTGTACGTGCTCTGCTAAAAACTATGATCCAAAATAACACTCGTCTGTTGTATGCACAGTGCGAGTAGTGCACACATGTAACAATAGAGCAAAGACCACTGCAAAAAAGTATTTTTGGCTACTAAATACCTGCTCTGTGTTACTGTTGCAAAGAACCAACCCATAACAAGCTGAGCCAAAATAACAACTGTGGAATGAAGATGTCAAGTAAGCTAATGCAGACAATAAGATTTACAACAGGTTTAAAGCACATCAACAAATACAGAGTTTCAAATACATTCACTTGTGCATAGTAAATGGGAAAGGAGATCTGGTAACAGAACCAGAAACCAGTTGGTGCTTATGCTCCTAAGTGTGCTATATAGTTTTAGATGCATGATACATTTAGCAGAAAAGTGAACAGTTACTAGAAGACAAACATTTACACAAACACAAAGACACAGTGCACCTCTCATTTCCACGCCTCTCTACCTGTCCTGTGCTGGGAGAAATCACGAGGGGGTTCACAATGGAGCTGCTTGCCACCTACAGGGATCAGGCGGTTCCCAGATAAGATACTGCCTGTCGTTGCTGTTCCATATTTCTGTGAGTGTGTCACCGCTATCCCACGCCACCATCACCACCACCACACCACCATTATCAACATTAGCACCAATGAATTACATGCTATATACACTCCTATTGCATTTTAAGAGCTTAAAATTCTTCAATTTTTAAGTAGCTATTCTCTTCCATATTTATTTCAATACAATGAAACTTTCTGCACTCTAATTCACACTACTGCTTTGTGAATTGAGAATGCAGATTAGGGATGTTTCTACTATATCTGCATGCCAGGCCACCAAGATGGAGATGAGGAAACAAGAAGGAAAGGCAAGATGAGCACACCCACAATTTCAAATTCATCAAATTTGACACCACAAAACAGCCTTGTGTATAAACATGGAAAGTTAACTCCACTAAAATTGCACAGAATTTCTGATTAAGAATGGCTACAGATACAGTTAGCTGTTTTCACAAACTCAAAATAACTCTGAATATACTATGCCAACCTGAAGATAACATCACAGATACAACTGCTAAATGAAATACAAAATGTAGGATTTATGATTCTGTTAATACTTAATATAAATTTCTGGAAAAGTAAGTACTCATGCCAATTTACTGATAATTCATAAAAGATGGATTGCGACAGGGTTATGGCCAACACATACCGAAAGGAGCACAGAATGAGAAGGAAAAAAACACACTACTTCAAGTATCCTATGGAAGAGGGCACTACAAAGATAAAATTTGTTTCTATGGGTATCCTAAACTGGAAATTTCCAAGCACAAACTGAAGGCAAAGTCCATTACCTGCACTTTCTAGTGATCTGCTCTCTCGATTCATCCTTCTGCCATCCCTTGCTCCACCACTTGCACTTGTACTTCTTGATTCAAATTCCCTCTTACGAACAGCTACATTAGGGACACTGCGTTTTGATGACAGGCGAGACAGTTCACTGCGATACAGGCTTGTTCTGTCACTGGCAAGGCCCTCATCTTCATCTAATCTACCAGTTTCAAACTGACGAGCACGCCTTGACACCAATTGTAACATGGGATGCATATGGGAAGGATTTTGATTACTAACTCCTTCACTAGAGGCTGATAAGGAACATGGATACTGTGTTCCAGAATCAGCAGCTGTTGCTCCTATAGCTGGAGATGAAGATAGAGATGATGGAAGAGAAGAAGAGCCACCACCAACATCAAGCACTTCTTCTGTGTCATCACTCAATGCTGATGAAGTGCATGGCTCTCCTGATGCTCCTGGATCTAACACTGGGATGTTTTCATGTATGCGAGTTAGAGTTGACACAAACGAAGCTTTTCCTCCACTGCCATGTCTGTGAGATCCAGAACCTCCATTAGAGCTGCTACCAGTTAAGCTGGCACTGGGTGAGACAGGCGTTATTGGACGGAACTGAGAGCCTGTTTGCTGACTGAAGGAAGATTTGTTTAATGCTGTGGTTGGAACATTTGATACTGGACCACCATAGATAAACTCACCTCGAATGCTACTTTGATTATGATCCCAAAGTTCCACTGATGCTTCGTCATGGCAGGATCTCTCCTCGCCACTACTACGTGATGATAAAGAATCTCTCTCAGAGTCAATGTCGGACTTGACGCGTTGGAGATTCTGGTGTGTAGGCTTGGTGCTGGTATTTGTGGAGGTCGAATAATTACTCCTACCACTGCTGGAGCTTCTAGGTGGGGACTGCTGATGGTATAGGGTGGGAGAACATGAACCAAGATTCTGAGGTGGCCACAAAGGTCGTTGAAATTTTTGTGGTCTAGCATAGAACTCTCTTGCAATAATGGCATGTTGTGAAAAGAGGGGTGATGATGGTTGCTGTTGATTTCCTGAAGCAATATTCCAAGATATTGGTTGATTTGGTCGTTTCAAAAATTCCTCCTTCTGTTCAAAACTCTTGCGTATCCTAGACATAATTAAGGAGTCATCACTGCTGCACCGATCTTGACCTCCACCAGTCAGAGTTGATGATGAATCAAATGACAGCAAGCTATCCTTGCTCCCTTCTGAGACAGTAGTATAGTTATCCCTGGCTAAACCATTAGAAGGCAGAGAAACTGAAGAGTCTCTCCGGCTGGTCCCACCATCAAGGCTCAGCCTACAACCGGCTGTACCTGAGTAATGAAGTCTTTGAAGACTGTTCACACTTCCTGCTGTCAAGTGGACATTCTCTGTGCTACCATAACTAGAACTAGCCATGTTGTTATCACTCAGTGGAACTGCAGACCCTAAATTCTGTCCGTGATACAATCCTCTACTTCCCTCAGAATTCTGATATGCCAAACCACCCCCTGCACTACCCATGACATCTTCACTCTGTCTTAAATTGTACATTGCACCCGAGCCAGAACCTCTACTCCATACTGAATTATCCACACTCACACGCCTTTCTTTACCAGGTACGCTGTAATACAGATTCAACTCATTACCACCACCCACTCCAAAAATTTCACCTCCACCCCTTCCATTTCCTGAATAACCATATGTGCTTGCTCTGTTCACTGCTGGACCATTACCTTCACTGTTCCTCCGAACAGACGGACCCTTTGTATGAGAATGAAAGTTTGAAAGTTCATTATTTGTATCTTCCCCTCTAGCACCATGATAAAATGTAACACGCTCGACAGTTCCACTGTGATTTTCATTTCCAGAAGTAGACAAGCACTGTGGAGACCAGATATCTGAATTGTTCGTTGCAGTGGACATCGCTGAGTGGCTTGTTTGCAGAAAAGTAGCAGTGTTTTCTCCTTGGTTATCAACTAGGTAAGGAGAAGTTGGTAGAAAGGGTTGAGAGCTGGCTTGGTTCTGTGATGTGACGTGCACTCGGCGATGATGACACGGGTTGTGGGGCAAAGGTAGTGATGATGCATGCTGTTGCTGTGATGTGGGCTGTAGTGATGAAAAGGGAACTGGTGATTGCTGTCGCATCATACTGGCTTGCCCAATATGACGATGCTGAGCTGATTTCTCAGGTGCCTTCATACGTGATGGCCTCTGGTTAGTCTCTGGGTTATGAGCTGTCTCACCAAAGTACTACAAAAAAATTATAAAATATTAATAACTCTTAAACAACAGAGGTTAATATTTTAAATCAACAGATAACCAGTGGACAAATATAAACATTTACATTCTTCACTGAATATGGACTTTAACTTACCAACTGCAAAATGTCATCTTCTTTAGGGACAACTAAGAGATGCAGGAAGTTTCCACTTTGTTGTATTAACTGCACAACTTGTGCATAAGAACGTCCAGTGATGGTCTCTCCGTTCACACTGATGATGCGATCACCTGCAACACAATAAGTACATTAATTTCTGTTCACAGAACATCATCTGAAGAAAAATTATTTGGGTTAAACAACAGAAAGGAATTGTTTTTTCAATGCATAGAACTGTAATAAGCAATACAATACTTTTAATCAACATAAAAATCATTGTGTCTAACCATCTGTAACATCATCTTAAGAATATATTCTGAACATTATAAGAGCTTTGAGATATCTCTGTAGTATTTTCTATTCCCCATCTCCCCTTTCCATTTCACAGCAGGTGATGCATGCATCTCACCTTTAAAGTAACCTCTGTCAAATAAGTCTTCCAGTGTCCACAGCTGCCCACTCTTTATCATCAAAGAACTGAGCCAAACTAACTACACACACACACACTTTCTAAACATCTAAAAATGGCCTCTTGATCAGCCTTCTTCTTCTTACACATATCTTGAAAAACAGAATGCATAAACGGTGGTGACAGTTGCATATACAATACATCTAAAGAAAGGAAATGTGGTGTATTCCAAGAATAACAAATGATACTTTATATAACTAGTTTATTTAACCTGAACTATAATTAGAAATGTACAAGAACCAGTTTTGCTTTTGATGCTTTTATTTAATGCACACTTCTATCTGTAACTGAATTTAAATTACTGTTCAAAGTACATCACTTATGTTTGTGAGTTCAATTAGACGGATACTTCTCTTCTCAATCCGATGAAAGTACATCTATTATAGAAAGAGGCAGAACTGAAAGGGCAGCATCCACTTTCATATAAAATGTATTCCTATAACTTTATTTATTAAAGTAGAACATTTGTATATTGTAATTTTCACAGAACAAATTAAATGAAATTTTTAACAAAGTATATGAGAAAACTGATAATTAAGATGCCAAGGTGACTGTTCATACTATATTTCATAATGCTCAAGATCTGGCCTCACACAAAGTCTAATACAAAGTGTGTATTGGTCTAGTTTATGAGCTGGTGTATCTCTGTTAATGCAGTTCTGACTATAGATTGGACAACCAGGGTTTGATCCCTAGCAGAGGCACAGGATTCTTCATTAGCCTCTGCATCCAAACTGGTTCTGAGGCCTACCCAATGGGTACTGGGGGTCCTTCCCCAGGGGCAAAACACATCTGGGGTATGACACTGACCACTCAACCCCATCTAGTGCTGAAGTGAAGAACAGGAGGAGCTACATCTATTTTCCTTCAAAGTGCCTACATGGCATGACAGCTTTACTTTGGTATAGTCTTCCTCAAGCTTTGCTTGCTGGTTGTTGGTCGGTTGTTCTTCGATTCCCTATATTTCAATGTATATTTATCTGTTAATCACCTTTTGCATAACTTATGTTGAGATAACCTGCTGTACAGTTGGGCCTAACACACACCACAGGTGTAGTGATAAATGACTATGAAGCACTGACCAACAGTGGATATCACAGTGCTATAATAGTACCTCTATCGCTATTAAATATTTACTCCTTTCTACAAAATTTATGTACACTCGGCCACGAAATTCAGCATCCATAGTGGCTGTGTCTTACCAATGCCTCTGGTGTACCCAATACAAAAATACATGACAGAAGTATTAAGTTATACAAAAATACAAAGTTACTGTTTTGGACTACGTGGCATATAATTTATTTGTAGTTTCCTAGAGACTGCTATAAGAGATGCCAAATCAGGACAAAAACTTTGATGCTGAAGCATTTACCTGTAGCCAAACCAGCTGCATGTGCAGAGCTGTTTTCACGAACATGTTTCACAAAGATAGTGTCCATAGGCTCATCCAACGCTGCTGATCCTGGACCCTGCTCACCAAATCCATGGCGCAAACCAAGCCGTCGATCGCCTTGCAGAACCTGGAAGTAATATATACATAAAATAACCTCTCAGAATGTAAAATTAATATGGTATCTCAATAAACATACGTGACAGGGACATTCACATTTTTTATTGACAATTTCAATCACTGTGAATTATCAAGTTGTCTTTATAATGGGGAATTGTTGTTTTTTCTTTGTGGTAGGCACTGAATTCTTAAATATAATTTAGATGAGCTTCATCTTCAAAGGATTAAGCAAATTAGATCGTACTGAGTAATCATAAGTGTGGTCTACTCCAAGATGTTAAGTGAACAAAAAATGTTTCCTAACTCTTGATAACAGAGACATCCAGTATCTACTGTTGTTACTGTGGTAAGATGAAAATTTAACCTTATGCCATAACACTTACAGTGTAAGATTCAGGAGGATAGACAATGAAGTGGCGCAATGTAAAACCAAAGCCATTGTTGTCACATCTCTTAAGGAACAGACTCCTCGGACCTCTAGACCAACCCTCCTGCCTGTCTCTCTGAAACACAAATATTATTATTTTAACAAACACCCTACATAAATTCATACATTCCCTGGAAAAGCAGGCAAATTACATCTGCTATGAAAATAATTAATATTTACCAATTTAAATTTTTGAAGTCAAATTAATGAAAGAACAGAAAGTAGACAGACGGTGAGATTTGTAGTATAAAGCTACAGTGGAAATAAATCACGGCTAGGAAGTTCAATTCCCAGTATGGCAAGGACTTTTCTCTTCGCCACCATATCCAAGCAGGATCTGCAAAGGTTTACTTCCCTTTTCCACCCCTCCAAGTAAACACTCACCTGTTTAAAAAATCATGCCTATAACGAAATTTCAATGGAACAGCTACTTATTTTCAATAACCTTTAATCTCGTTCACATCCTTTCTTCATATAGTTACTGATGAAACACACCTGTAAATGGGCAAGTCCAAATGCCCACATCACCACGAACTGAAAATATGATTATGTACAAGAGAATTTTAAATACTATGCATTCTCAGTGAGTGGAGACTATAATTAGAGAACGTTATAAAGGCTTGGCTCGCATCAAATTGCCACACACTGAAAACAACCAACGGCAGAAAACAACTACAACGGTGACAGCTAGTAAGTTCTTGCTTTTTACATATGATAATAGCTCTTGGCAGTATACTGCCAAGTCACAGCAAATCATCCATTTCTTTGTCAAAATTGCGTTACCACAAGGAATCAAAATGTCGAAGTACTCCACCCCTCGTATAAGAACTTAATTGCTTTATGACGTAATAAACCAAAACAACGAGCCACCAGCAATAACAATGACGCTATTTTTTATAAAAGAATTTTGGTTTTGTTTCTCCATTTTTTAACTAAAGTTTGAGACCGAATTTTAGTAAATTCTCTAGAAACAGCTGTGCTAATTTAGACAATTTCCGAACATGATTCAAATCTATAGCACCATGAGACTGAATATTAAAAGAAACCTCTATGTCTACAAAATAATATCACAGGTGCAAAACAAAATTTACTTAAGAACATAAAATAAAGCGACGCATTAAAATAGTTCATTTAACTGGTTCTACGCCACCGGAAATAAACGCCTGAAACTAAAACATAAATATAATAACAAACTACTTGGCCAAAATCCATCGTTCTATTCCAATTCAATTTGGCGCCAAAGAGTAGGTGTTATTACCTGAGGACGGAAACAATTTCCAGTCTCCGAAACGGATTCTTTTATTAAAATCAGACGATAAATAACACCCAAGAAGATTCCTATTGTAATAATACACCATTCTCACAAACCTTCAAATTTAATAACTATAACAAATTTCCAGTAATACAATGAGAATACGAATCTTGGGAATATAATCTATTAGCAAAGCTCTGGGTTGGTCTGCTGTACTCAGATCTGACGACGCATATAAACAAGGCTATCCTCGAGTTGCAAATGTGTGTGGACCGTGGACCGGTGTATATATAAGCATTTTATAAATATAATTCTTTTATTAGATAATGTAGTTTAAACAAGCCATAAATCAAACCACTTTGACAAAGACCACTTGGCGAAACGGAAGTAGCATCATTAGTTCCAATCAACTAGAGCTCCTTCTTGATTCGATAGCCTTGTTCAGCCTGCCGTTCAAGTGACAGCAATAAAGACATTTGTTTGAAAGCTTCAGAAATTCTTTCGCAGTAGTAAGCATCGAGATAATCAGCTGCTGGACTGTCTGGTATAGCAATCGTGTAAAGTTCCTCATCGATATTCAAGTGGATAACACCGAAGTTTGGAGTACTGTATTCGGAAACCAGAAGTCGCCGTGTGTCTGCACACATGATATTAATACTCTGTCAAAAAACGAGTGAATTTTAATGTTAATCGCAGTTCCGTTCAGTTTAATATTTCAAAAAAGTACTGTCAACCCAGTCAGTTTAAACATACGGAAATTACTCAAGGCATTTATTACCATGTGTGAATTTCATTCTCTTTAATCGGTGTTTGGGACCAAATTACGTGAAGACCTAAATACACCTTGCTAAGTATTAACCTAACAGAAAAATGCACTGAACTAATATGCAGCTAACACTAAGAGACATATTCCTTTAAATTGTGAGAGCCAATCAGATATGAAATTACTGCATGTTACTCCTCTAGTATTCTACTACAGACCCAAGGAAAATGCTATGAGGCAGACAACAGACGTAAAGCTGTGGCGTTAAATATTTAACCCTTTGGAGCTCAGTGACAATTACGCGAATCACCTGCTTGACATTCAATAACTCTGTATTATTTCCCATAGACTCTGTCACACGTTTCGTATTGTTTACTGAATAAACATCCATTATTTCCTTCAACAGTTAACTAAACTTTGCAATGGATACGCGCAATGTTTTCTCTGAAGCGCGAACTTTATTTTTTTTTTTTGTAAATATAAAATGTTAAAGGTGACCCACATTTACAGAAATCGCCACTGATTTCCTACAGAATACAAAATGACTGACTGGTAACAAGTCACGCTGGTTCAACCGAGAACTAGTCAATAAAGCAGCTCTCGTTCAGCACATTGCGTGGGTGTGTTGCCGATCGATTTGGCTTGGCCGTGGCCGGGATATCAACTATACCTCTTCTCCCTAAAACAGACTTTCGCAATAAAGTAATTATGTCCCATTCTTTGCAGTGAATTCTTGATGGAGGAGGGGAAGTTCACTCCGAAGGCCACATTCCGTCAAGATCATTTAAAAACATTTCATTCATTAGACAAACTGAAATCCATCTGATGGTCAGAACGGTTAAATACAGTATCAACGGCTTAACAGAATTTAGAAATTAAATCTTTGCATCATAGCAGTACATGACATAACATATGTAACTATAAGAAAATCTAGAGTTCTCACTTTTTTAAATAAAAAAGGACTGAAAATGTTAAACTTGTTACATTTTTTCATCGTGTAAAATTAAGTTTCTGAAGTTTATGGCCCTCAAGTATGAAATATTCCTGCTCGTATATTCTTCAAGTCCACTTTAATATTTGGCTGTCACTATCTTAAAGAAAGTAAATCTTACGAAGAAAATATCCATGGCATTAAATGTTTACTTCCTTGTTGGTTAATCTGTTTCCAGAAAAATCTACAACAGCTTATATTTAGTAAAACATAGGCTAAAATGCATTTGTGTAAAGCTGGCAGACAGCGCTGTCCAATTTGGTTGCTAACAATTCCACATGTAAAGTGTATTTTTGAATGAATATCAACACCACACTGGAGTTGAGACGTTTCACGCAATAGACGCTCCTAGACCCAAAACAAATTGCGAAACGAGCTTAAAACCTGCTCATAAAAACATTAGAAAAAGACTGCCTTGAGCCAGTTTAAACACTGTAACTTTTTGCATAGGTCGAGTGACGTGTAAAGTTCCGTGCGTGCGTGCTTGTGTGTAAAGTTCCGGTTTGTTTGTAACAATAAACACTACACCACACGTAAGCCTATAAACCAGTTTCGCTGAAAGAATGGTCAAAAGACAGCACACAGAATAGAGCTCAGCACCCTGGTTTTAAAATCTAATTTTACACTTGATGTCCCAGGACTCTAAAATCGTATGATTATGAAGACAGCTGAACTAGTAATCTTTTCAGGATGCAGACAATAATACTGTTGATGTGATCTAGACTGAAATGGCTCAAGATATGGTCCACACTGAACACGATAATAATTATTCGGATTCCATAGCAACGTACAATTTCTTAATTAGACCAGCAATAACCAACAATTCAAAGAATTGCCTGTGCCACGGAGATAATTCGTTACTATTCAAAGCTTCTTCCATTAAGCTTTTCCCAGAAAATAGTGCAATTGCATAAATCAGGAAATTAAACAAATAAATACTACAGTAGCCTACTATTAATGTATAATACAACTATTAATGAAGTTCTCACGTCAGCAGAGGACGACTTTAAAGTTATAAATCATACATAACAAATTGCACATATGTGCCTCTTCGGGTTTCTTTTATTAACAATGACTGTGAAGGTACATATTTGTTCCCTGCATCATTAAAATTCGTCGTCGCCTTGTCTTACCTCCCATGCAGGTAACTTCCAAATAACTGTGTTGTTCTGCTTGGGGACAAGAAGTTTTTGTGCCCGATGTAGAAGAAACGTGAGGAGAGTTTACCTCAGAATTTTTCCAAGGCTAATAAATATGAGATTTGAGGTTTTCACGGCGGTGAAGATGTCGATACAATTCGGATCGAAACATGTGCCTTGATTTTATGTTATGTGGTGATAAAATATATAGATGTGTTGATTGCATGCCTTCTATTACATAAAAAGGGATCAAATTCCTTCTTAATGGTTAAAAACAGACTTCTCGAAGTGTAGCTTACTGACAGGACGCATAGAGCACTTATCACAAATGTACATAAGCCGTAATCCACACGTTATATCTTTTTAAATTATATGACTTCAAAGTGGAAAGCGTTCTCTGCATTTAACTCCCTTAATGCCAGTAATAACCCACATATAAATTTCGCAGTAAAATATGTTTGGCTATGTATGCACAAATAGAATTATATTAAATCGCTAAATTCGAAACTGCATTCTTACAACGCCCACTCCGGAACGTCACAGCGTACATGCAACGTGTTTAATTTTAAATTAAAATTAAAAAGAAGAAACTTGAGAGAGGTGTAAGCTAAAAATAGTCAACAGTTGCTTGGCTAGCATTTCTGGTGCAGCTGGTAGGCCATGCCTTCCTATACACAGTTCCTTATACCGGCTGATCTTGCTCTCGTCACCATGGAAACGGATATCGCTCCCTCACAATGAGAACTGTTTAGTAAAAATACAACCGTACGATAAACATTCCAGAAAACATGTTTTAGAAATCCTCCTAAATAACATTTAAAATTTCAGTTCCTACCACACAGTAAGCACAACGCGTTTCCATCCAAAAAAATCAATTGCGTAAAGCTGTTTACGAAAATAATCTACGTATATTCTGAGAATTATACAAAAA